AAGAGAAGAGAAGAGAAGAGAAGAGAAGAGAAGAGAAGAGAAGAGAAGAGAAGAGAAGAGAAGAGAAGAGAAGAGAAGAGAAGAGGAGTAGCTCTTGTCTTGAATGTAGAGGTTTCCTCCTCTCCTCCAGCATTATAAATTCGACTAAAATCCTTCTTGCCTGTTCTAAAAACTATTAGAACATTATTATGTATTGTGTACTATGGTGCAACAGAAGTTTAAGACAACAATATTATACAAAGCAAGAATGGCATGGGATAGTCAGAATAAATAGCAAGAATACTTTAGCATCATGAAAAATAGCAAAAATGTCATTTAAGTATGGAGAATCCTGCAATTTCCTCCTGTAAGGGCTATCTATAGAAACTTCTTACACAGGAAACAGCATGTTACAGACACAGTAAATCTCTATATGCACCTTCTTTTCTCTCTCCCCCCCACAGCCAACACTGAAACTTCTTAAAGTCCCCCTGCCTGCACACAGCCTTGCAGAGGCCCTCTGTGAAGAATTCCTGGGCTGTACCCAAGCTCTCAACACAGATGTAGAGCAATTTGGCATCAACATGAACATGGATGTGCAGGAGAAACTTAGAATGTTCTTCTCCAGGTAATGACATGTCATTGTGCACATAGAAATAATATTCTCCTAAACAGGGTGGTGACATTTTATTTTACTAAACTTTAAATGTGATATAGGTGTGCACACACACAAACAAGTCTACTACCAGGTTTGCTTTTGAGAAAGGAACAGCACTTTGAAACTAAAAATTTTGGCTACACACCAGCAAAAGCACATTGAAGTCACTAACAGAAAAATCTTGAATGTCACTTCAAGCTATTAATTTTAGGAAGGAATGAAATCTGTCCAGAAAACCAGACTTCCATAGAGCACTGTGTTGCTAATTTAGCTGTATACAGGGACAGCAAAAAAAACAGGCTCCAGTTCAGTTCTTTGACATGAAATGCTGATCCCTTCTAAGATGTTATTCTAAGATTATTAGATTTAAATGTGTAAATCGTCAGAAAAATTACTCTTATAATTATGTTTCCAAAGTAACCACACTGCTGAGGTTAGGAAAACTACTCTGGACTTAGACCAATCTTAATGAAACTCTACCACTGCCCCTGACCATCAGACCAGCAGTATTTAAGGGCCACTGAGTGGCATGTATCTCTTCTCTCTCTCATTTAAACTTTCTTGATTTGTACACTATTCAAGTCAGAGTGGTGGCATTTGCAACACTAATTAATTGTGAGATGAGAGATGGATCTTGTGAACTTCTATTAGATTTTGGTGATCATTTGAAGAAATAGTTTCTTTATATTTACCTATTTACTTACTTTTTACCAATACAAACTAATTCATTTTAAACAGTTTACCACAGATGGTTTCAATTCACAGAAAAATAACTCTGAAATCTATGGCCATCACTAGATGACCTACTGCTTCAGAAAGTACACAAGCTTTCATGTTTTCCTAAACAAGCTGCTTTCTCTAAATCTCAGCTGGTAACATATCTGTAGTTGCAAGAGTTTCAAGCTATCAAAACTTTGAGCATTTTTCTATAAATATTAATTTTCTATCTGTCTATAATTTTAACTTTGCACTAATTGGAGGACTTGGTGGAGATTCATCACAGCAGAAGGAGAAATGAATAAAGCTTTATTATGGGCAATGTCAGCTTACATCAAGTCCACAGTTTTTTACAGCACAAAACACTCAGCATGACACAAGTACTCTGAATTTTCCTGCCTGGGGGAAAACAAAAAGTCTCTTCAAGAGTATCAGAAATGTCTATGCTGAATTGAATTTATTCCAGAGTACTTTAAGAGTACTTTCTTTTAAAATATACTTTTGCATTCAAGATATGAATATTAGGAAGAAAAATAAAAGTTCGAATCTCAGTGGAGTAAGTTGGGTTAATAAACACTAAAGATATTGAGCAATAAGCAAAAGCTTGTTTATAGTAGCCAACTTTGGCAAAACACTGTTTTTCCAGGATCACTAAATTTACCTACCTGTAGGGAGTAAGAGTGAAATGCCAGATCACCTGGTTTTCACTTCTAACTTAATTTTAATTTCAAAATATTTGAAATTATTTTATTCTTCCAAAACCATTTATAAATCGAATTATTATCAATAGAAAATTAAGAAAGAAATTTTTTCCATTCAATTAAAAAAAAATAATGTCATTGCTATTGCATATTTATGAAGAAATTTTGGAATTGAAAAAAACTAAAAACTAATGGAAACTAAAAGTCAATTATAAATTATTTATCTAAATTTATCTTCTCAAGCACAAAATGTCAGCCACTCAAAAATTAGCTCTTACCTATTATAAGAGTCTGTCAGACAAACAAAAAAACCACCACAAATTAAAAAAACCCTCCCACCCTGTAAAAAAATGGACAAAAACACCCATACTCTTTAATTGTATTTATGTATTTACAGCAAACAAAAATTCTACATTTCAGAAACAGCAGATAGAAAAAAAAAAGCAAAAACCCACCACACTTGGTGGGTGAGACATAGAGTTCCTCTATCAGTGCCTGCCAGGAACATCAAATGCTTGGCCTGCTGATCTAGAAAGTCACCAGCTTATCTAGAAAGTAAAGCTTGTCCTAGTTTTGGAAAGAATTACAGTGGGATTATCAAGTCAAAAGAAACATCTTTGGCTGTAACGAACTCCAAAAGCTATTCATTGTCATTGCAAGTAAGAGCTACACCAAACCATGCACCAAGCTACGAACAGCACAAGAGTTCAGAATCCTGTTTCCTCTTTTACCGATGCCCAGCACATCACTCATATGTTGTGTCATACACAGACTCATTAAAAATAACG